AGTATGTGTCATCATAACTTAGCAAAAAGTAAGGCGCTGTTAGGTTTGGTGGGGGCACTGAACGGTACTTAGCTAAGTTTTTACACGCTACCTTGTGAAGTCCTGTAGAGTCCTGCTTACCAAACGACTCATTCAAACCATTCCCTCACAGGAGCTCACAGGTTATTCAACACGAACAGGCAAAAGGACCTATCGAAAGTACAAGTTCCTTCCCCTCCCCCTCCAAGCCGAACAGCGCCAAAAATAATCCCGTAATAAAACTTAATTTGCAATCAAGGATAGAGCTTCAGCAAGTACAAAAACTCTCAGAAGGAGGGAAAATTCGAAAAACAAATTAACTTCCTACAGTTCTATTTGTAAAACTCCACTCACCCGCTTATCATGCAGTACACTTCGCACTGTACCATTTCTACCGTAATCGATGGCAAAAACTCTTTCAAAATATCGATCGCCATAGTACAATGTCTGAGAGTACGGATCCACTGCGAGACCTAAAGTGATATGAATGAAAGATGAGGATATGGCCCCATTGACTAGTTCTCCAAATATGCACTAGAGGGTGAGAGATTTCCGGAGCTGGCTGAGATCCTTAACTGAGTAGGCGCCTTCAATTAATTACTTCTGCAGGGGGTGGGGGAATGTCAAGGAAAACAACAAAAAATAGGAAACATTTCGGTCAGTTCCAATTAATACTCCACTCACCGCTTGGCATTTGGAAGAACCCGCTCTGACATGTTGATCTTGGTACGATTACTGTACCGTACCTGCCATACACTACCGTTACGTCCACTGGTTGAATAGAAAATCAGGCTGAAATGAAACAATGTTGAAGACACATATCCGCGATAACCGGATGGGCGGAGAATCGCAGCCCTTGCTCATTGGGGGAGACGGACGATAGAATCGTAATCTGCCGCTCCGTTGCACGTGGCAATGGGCGCGACGTTTTTTTAAGTTGCATGGAGCATCGATTCATGTATCCGAGGATATCGTAGACAGTTGTATGGCTGTTTTGGTCATACGCTTTCCTAATTCATACTGGATCGTATTCATTTGTGGGCGCGACGTCGCACGCGGACTTCCTCGTACGCGCTGAATTACGATATCACGTTGTCACATTACCCTTTGCTTTGAACGTGCCCCTCCCCCTTACCGCACAAAGGAAGGAGTAAAGAACTCTCGTTCTACCATTCTTCTGATACTATAGAGAGGAGACGTGTGCCAGTGAAGAAAGGCGGATATCTTAAAACGCAATTTGGCAATTTTTCGTTGTGAGATATCCCCACCTACGCGGAATTCTCTTGAAAATGGCTGCAGGGAACTGACACCGTGGGCATGTGTAGAAGTTGCGGCACTAAATACGCAATATGCCGTCTGGATGCTGAAACGCCCGGAACGCCGCTCCAAGTGAAAGGTAGTTCTTTAAGTGTCGCAGTAGTAAATCACACTACCCTTGGAGAGAAGGCTCCGGGGAGTTCTGTTGTCAGATGTGTGAAGCGTGTTTATACTCTACGTCAGCGTTTTGGGCGTACGGCAGGGTCCGAGAGTTTTCAGCGACTGGAAAGCATACGTTCCGGGGTTCTGAGCGTACGCTCAGAACACCGACGCAAAGCATGAACGCACTTACTTTTGGCACCAGCGTCAGGCATTTCCGCCCCGACGGATGCCATTCTGTGCTATGGAGAACAAACTACCTCTAAGATTAGCGTTCTTCCTAAAACTACCCCAGGGATGAATTTTTTCCGAAATCTACATTTGGATACAGAACTGGATAGCGTAAGAAACTTACCCTAGCGATGTATCCACAACAAAATCCTCAATGTCCAGGTCATCGACAACTATTCGGCAGTGTTTCATTACAGGCACTTCATTTTTACAAATAATCAGGCGAGTTCGTCCAACCAGAAACAGCCAGTTGTCACCAGTCGCGTCGTGACGTAGTGAGCGTACTTCTGAATGCACCATACTGGATTACAATGCAATTATGAATGTTAAACATTGGAGTGAGATGGGCGGAGCGTCCTTGAAAGGAGCCAATGGGTAAGATAAGGAGGCGTGGTTTTCTTTTAAGTGGGTGGTCTCGAGGTAATATGAAAGTGCACACCGAACTAATTGTAAAATCTCACTGTGGACTGATAGAGAAAGACGCAGTAATCAAGAGAACCCAAAGAGACCAGTTTGACGACGGGGGGGGGGCATTTTGTACTATCATTGCTTCCTTAGTTCCGGTTTACATGTCTCACTCTGGCGAAACCTGTGAACTCTTGTGAAGCTGGAACAAGGTCGTCAAGCCATCATGTTAAAACCTGTCAACTCGAGAAGAGGCTGTCTAGATAGGCCGACACGTCGATGGGAAGTAGCAAAAAGTGCAAAATGCCCCCCCCCGTCGTCAAACTGCGCCCCCAAAAGATTTGAAAAAGTGACTGTAAGAGTGAATGGCGAACGCGACACGTCCCCATTAATCTTCCTCCAGGCCTCTGAGCAGGCAGGTCGTTACCGTGTTTGAACGTATCCCCAGCCCCCCTTCCTCATTAGTTGGTGCGGCAAAGCCCTAGTACTATTTGTGATGGTTGACTGTAGTAGCTGATTGGTGAGAATACGGGAAGATGGTAGATAGGATGGGGAAAGAGGGTCATACTGTAAGAAGACTTCTGTGGAGAGGGGTCTTTCTGAGACTGTCACTCAGGCAGGTCCTGTTGCTGGAGAAAACTTTCCTGAAAGACGACCCTCCCCTCCCCTACATGGGAGTCCTCAAGCGATGTAAATAGCGCTGGAGGAGATGGAAAAACCAGCTGTCTAGCCAAAATCCAAAAGCCAATCAAACCAGAAAAATTCTTCCTGGGCCAGATAAAACCCCCTTCAGTGACCAAAAACGATCCCCGTTGGGAATTCCCCAGCGTATGGACCTGTTCTGCTTCTATCTCACCCATCCCTTTGCTATACCCTGATCTCGACCTTGGGGACGAGTTCTCCTGTCTTCCCTAATCAACCACTTACCGTCCAAATGGAAAGCTGGCAGTGACGTCAGTGACCATAATTTTCATAGATTTCTTTGTAATTTTTGAGCACTCCATGAAGGCATATGTCGAAGGATCCTGAAAGTACAATTACATAAAAATTTCTGACCCCTCTGTTCTGCTGCGCATCCCTGACACCTCTGCTGAACGTACCGCTCTCACGCCTGCCATCAGATAGCAAATCCAATTTCGGGTGCTGTCCATTGCGGCAGCGATTAGCCGTCGATTTTGATTTATGGTCCGTTGGAAACGAGCCGGAAAATCCTCCCACTTAATCGATGTTGTCATCGCGAACGTGTTCCCCACAACTGTTATAAGGTTGCCTGTGGTGTCACCTGTAAAGTACTTATATTCATTTTACAGCAAAAAAGGATGTTGTTTTCATGAATCTAAGCAGATTGTAAGCAAGTTTAATGGGCAGACTGCGAAAAAATAGCGCAATTCGGTTTTGTGGGGGCATTTACTAGTTCCCATAAATCACTGCAGGCGCTTCCAGCGAATACCCGTGAAGTCCTGCCAAGCTATGCAGCAGCAGGAGCTTCGTTTACTTTGGACAAGAGTCTGCAGGTCTCACCAAAGTGAAACGTGCAATTCAACAGGTAACGAGGAAACTAGTGGAATTGCGAAACTCCCTCCCTCCCACAACTCCACCCCCCCCCTAAGCCGAACAGCTATGGAGGGCCGCTTCGAAGACACCCTTAGAGGTTGCTGGGTGGACAGAACCTGGGTATAGGAAGCCGCGCGATTGGTGCATTCTTCCTCCTTCCGTCTTCGTTGGGTGAAAGGACACCCCCCCCCCTGAGCTGAACAGCTCCAAATAATAACCACAAACAGAAAAATAAATTTTGAAATGCTACAGGAGAACTGATGACGTT